GATTGGGATGTAGACTGATCTTTTCCAATCCTCTGGCCAGTGCTGAGTTTTCCAAACTTGCTGGCATATTGAGTGTAGCACCTTAACAGCATCATCTTCTAAGATTTTAAACAGTTGAACTGGAATGCCATCACCTCCACTGGCCTTGTTGTTAGCCATGCTTTCTAAGGTCCACTTGACTTCACTCTCCAGGATGTCTGGCTCAAGGTCAGCAACTACATTGTCTGGGTTGTCCAGGACATCCAGATCTTTCTGGTATAATTCCTCTGTGTATTCTTACCACTTCTTCTTGATATCTTCTGCTTCTGTGAGGTCCCTACCATTGTTGTCCTTTATCATGTCCATCTTTGCACAAAATGTTCCTTTAATAGCTCCAATTTTCTTGAACAGATCTTTGGTTTTTCCCTTCCTATTATTTTCCTCTGTTTCTTTGCACTGTATTTAAGAAGGCCCTCTTGTCTCTCCTTGCTGTTTCTGTAACTTTCCCTGTCTCCCTTGCATTTAGTTTCCCTTCTCTGCTATTGGCAAGGCCTCATTGGACAGTCACTTTGCTTTCTTGCATTTCCTTTTCTTTGGGATGGTTTTTGTTGCTGCCTCCTGTACAATGTTACAAGCCTCCATCCCTAGTTCTCCAGGCACTCTGTCCACCAAATCTAGTTCCTTAAATCTGTTGTTCACTTCCACTGTGTATTCATAAGGGATTTGGCTTAGTATAGGCCTGACACGGTGGCCTTGATCCACAAAAGCTTGTGTATTGTATGATTTTTTTTCATCATCTATAAATGTTTTGCATTTGTATTAAAGTATTGTCTCCCAAAATCTCTGCATTAAGGAAACACAAGAGTACCTGTGCAGTGTCTTGACTGTGCCATGTGGAGGCGCCTGTCATCTTTAAGATGCTGCAGAATTTTGATAGCACTGGAATTCTCAAACGTTCTGTCCCTTTGGAATTCAATAGGAAATTCTGTCCACTGTCATTGTTTGTGTGGGGTGTGCAAATGTGCTCACAATACCTGTTTGGTAATTTCTGCAACCAACAGGTGGCACTTAAGAGCTGTGGAAGATCTGCGAAGTGGTTACATGCCATAGGTTTTGTCCCTTCCTGTCCTTTCCATTGGCTTTGTACACACACTACCTGTTACTCATCACTAGGTCAGAGAGTTTGACAGACCACTTACCTACCACCTTTACGCTGGGGCAAGTCCCAAGACCTCAGCAGTGTGTAGCGTAAGCCCCTTGAACAAGTCTGACCTTGAACACTTTACTTTTACCCAGTACTTTGCAAGCACAGACACATGGGCTTTGTGATTCCTTAGAACTCACAACAGCTCAGTTAGGTAGGACTCTTAAAAATAGCTAGTTTGTGGCCCTCTCCACCTGGATTTAGCCAGACCCTGCTGTTCAAGAGACCAGTCCTTTTGTAAGAATCTTTATAATTTTTATTCCGGGTAGGTGGGGCTCGTCAGCCATGGAAGGCAGCCCATCTAGGAGAAGGAAAACTCCGATTTCAAACCTCCACTGCCTTGTGGCTATATCCACTCATGGAAAAGGCTTCAGGAGTTAACCTCGAGGCAAAATCCGGAGCTGGAGTCCCGAAGGCAGCATGTGTCGTTCTGCCAACTCCTGCGACATTGCTGGAACCAGTTGTATTGGCTCTTGCCTTTCCATTGAACCATTTCAGCAATGTGGAGAGGGGGGATCTGCTGCTTGGGTAACAGCCTATCCTCCATATTACCTTACCCGGGCTTCATGCTCTGGAGAGGACACTCCTCGATTCAGAGCATGTTACCATAGTCTCTCGAGACTGAAGGATGCCTATATACTATAATTTTTATTAACCAATTAACATTGTTAAGCAAGGCACCACTGTACAGCAATTTTGCTGGAACGGATTATTGTCGTCAAGCGGGGCACCATTGTACTTGCTGCCCTTCCCATTACTCGGAGTTGAAATCCAGAACATAACTTCTTTCACATAACCCATTGTCCATTTTCTACACTCTCTAACTCCTTCCTTCTTGACAATTCTGGCTGTTAACCAATTAGCCTCAAGGGACTGTAACACCTTCCTCCCCCCCTTAATTCCCATGAAAGTCCAGGTGTTTTATCTCTTCTCCAATTGAATTCTTCAATTCCAATTCTCGGAATGTTGAGTCTTCTACAGGCCCCTTGATTTGACCTTCAGCTCTATCTCAAACCATGCTGTACCAATCTTCAGGAAAACATTCTCAAAGCACTTATAAAAAGACATT